CTTGCTGCTGCAGGAGCCGGGAAACCACCTGATTTCCATGACCTCTGCCAGCACGCAGAACCTCTCCGCTGACCGCGACGCGGGCGAGAGGCACATTCTGCGCTACCTCTACGCCTGCTTCCAGAGGGCAAGAGAAGAGGTGGGCACAGGCCTCTGAGGAACAAAGCGGCTTTGTCGCCCCGTTCTCCGGTCCGGGGCAACTGAGCTGAGGTGCTGACGGCCAGAAGCAGATGCCAGGGCCCTAGCACTGTCTCCTTGTCTTTGCGCAGATAACCAAGGTCCCGGAGAACCTGCTGCCCTTCGCCGTGCGCTGCCGGAACCTCACCGTGTCAAACACTCGCACCGTCCTGCTCACCCCGGAGATTTACGTCAACCAGAACGTTTATGTGGCTGCTGCAGCACCGCGAGTAACGGCCTTGTTTCCCTCGCCAGACTTTGAGGACGTGACCGAGTTTCTCGAGGAGGTCATAGAAGCCTTAACGATGGATGAGGAGGTGCGGACGTTCGGGGAGGTCATGGTTCCCGTGTTCGATGTTCTGTTGGGCAGAATCAAGGACCTGGACCTCTGCCAGATCCTGCTCTACACATACCTGCTGCAGCACCGCGAGTAACGGCCTTGTTTCCCTCGCCAGACTTTGAGGACGTGACCGAGTTTCTCGAGGAGGTCATAGAAGCCTTAACGATGGATGAGGAGGTGCGGACGTTCGGGGAGGTCATGGTTCCCGTGTTCGATGTTCTGTTGGGCAGAATCAAGGACCTGGACCTCTGCCAGATCCTGCTCTACACATACCTCGATGTGCTGCTCTACTTCACAAAGCAGGAGGACACAGCAAAGGTGGGCGCCTCGGTGTGACCAGGAGCTCCACGCAGGCTCCGCTTGCAGCAGGGGCACGTTTACAGGAGCTGATCTGTCAAGGTCAAGCTAGCAGTGCGCTTGCGTAACAACGCTGCGTGCAGACTCCTACCCTCTCTCCTCCGTTCTGGTAGCCTGTCCCAAGGCCATCCATCCGTGGGATTTTACACAACTGTCAGCATGTCGCGCTGTGTTCCGTAGGTTTTTGCAGGCTACATCCAGCCCAAGGACCCCAGCAACGGACAGATGTACCAGAAGACCTTGCTTGGCACCGTTCTGAACATCTCCTGCTTGTTGAAGACCCCCGGCGTAGTGGAGAACCACGGCTATTTTCTGAATCCATCCCGCTCCAGCCCGCAAGAGATCAAAGTGCAGGAATCCAACATCCATCAGGTGGGCTGAGCACGACAGCTCTGCTTCCCCGTGTGCTTTAGCGGCCCCTCGCTGCCCGGGGCTTGCAGCCGTGACACCATCCCACCGCCGGCTCCGTAACGGTCGGCCTTGGCACTAAGGAAGCCGGGACGCCGCTGCGGTGTCTCCAGCTGTAACAGGCAAAGGGCTCCGGCCGCCTCGTTCTAACCTGAGCCTTCGCGTTGAGCGAGTCGTGTTTTGTCCTGGTAGTCATCAGAGCTTTGGGAACAGGGTGGAGTGGTACCTGTGGGACAGACACCAGCAGTGTCACTTGAGGTGGTACCGGAAGGCAGTCGACCTCTGGTGGTGTCATCATCTCCAGTACCTGTCCTGTAATTAAAATGCTCATTGACTCCCCAGCAGGGACGGTGACAGGCAACGTTCTCTCTCGTTAGGAAAGTGAACAGCGCAGTAAATAGTAAAGAATTTGGGGTTTGTTCTCCGTGGAAACAGCTTGCTCTCTGCTGCGCTTTTGGGTGTGCCCCCACTTACTCTTTGCTGCCGGTGTCGGGGATTTGACCCGCTCGGAAGGCGTGTGTCTGACAGCGGCTAGCGGAGGCGGTGTGGCCATGGCCGCGCTTTCCTCAAAGCCCTGCCCTCGAGCAGCAGGATGTGGTCTGGGGCTGGGAGAGCTCCGAGAGCGTTAGCAACCGGAGAGCTGAGAGAGCCATCCTGCCAAGGGCTCCTCCAACTGCTTTCCGTTCCCCGCAACAGTTTATGGCCCAGTTCCACGAGAAGATCTACCAGATTCTGAAGAACCTGTTGCAGTGTTCTCCAGAGACGAAGCACAGGATTCTCTCCTGGCTGGGAAACTGCCTCCACGCGAACGCGGGCCGCACCAAAATTTGGGCTAACCAGATGCCGGAGATCTTCTTCCAGATGTACGCCTCAGATGCCTTTTTCCTCAACTTGGGAGCTGCCCTCCTGAAGCTGTGCCAGCCCTTCTGCAAACCAAAGTCTCCAAGGCTGCTGACCTTCAACCCCACTTACTGTGCCCTGAAGGAGCTGAACGAAGAGGAGAGGAGGAGTAAGAACGTACATATGAAAGGTACGCCCCGTCCTCAGGGGAGCAAGGGAACGAGGAAGGGGGGGCCCTTCAGCTCCTTAACTCTCCCAGTAGTGCCCGCTTAATGCGTGCCAGTAACGGAGAGTTGAATGAGCAGAGAGCAGCAAGGGAAGGGCTGAATGCAAATAAAACACTGCCCACCATCACCAGCAGTCATTCCACGTCTTCAGCAGAGACCTTCTTGAGCCCCCTCCTCACCAGCGCTGCTGGGTGGGGCTTGACACGGAGGTGCTTCTCGTTCCAGGTTTGGAAAAAGAAACATGCCTGATACCCACTCTGAGCGAGCAAGAGCCGGAGTTTGCGAGCAGCTACAACCTGGTGACGGAAAACCTGGTCCTCACGCAGTACGCCCTTCACTTGGGATTTCACAGGTAGCTGCTCTGTCGCCGCGCCGCTCCGCCCCTCGGGCTTTCGCCCCTGCAGCGGCGGTCGGCGGGCTCCCGAGGCCCCGGAGCTCGGGGAGGGGATTGCTTGGGGGTTAAGTGGTACCTGAAATACGTAAGTAACGGGGGTGCTCAGGCTGGGGGCCCCCACCCGTATACGGCTACGTAAACTGTTAGTAAATACTCAGAACGCAGAGTGGGCCAGTTGAGCTGCTGAGTACCTTTTCATGCACGTCTTGACGGACGTTTGAGCCTCAGGCCAACTCATTTGGGAAAGAAACTTTGTCCGCTGGTGCTCGCAGTCAACACCAACAGCCTTACGGGCTCCACGTTATTCCTAGAAACGCAACAGCCGGGTGCCCGTGGTCGCTCCGTTCCCCCTCTCCCCTCAGGGAAAGGGTCTCTGGCATCTGGCTTCTCTGCTGGAAAGCATCGTGGCAGCGGAGCACCTGCCTGCTGCGAGCTCTCCGAACCGCCTCCGTGAACGGATCGAACGTGAAGCAGAAATGCAAGGAAGGTGGCTGTCCCTTGCCAGGAAAGGATTTTCTGGGCACCAGGACGGGCTCTTTTTCTCAGCTTCTCTCTGCAAATCGTTGCCTGGATACTGTGAGGTCACCACTGATCCAAGCACCGTCCCCTTCTGGTTTAATCTCTAAATATAGAAATAGATGACAAAGTTACGCAAGTGGCGTGTTGCTGGGAAACTGGGAATGTCACCTCGCAGGCATCTCTGGGCTTGCCGGGTCCCCGACCTTGGTAACCTAATGGGGCTCACCGCTGCGCCGGCTCGTTGTCCGCGCCCCTGCGGAAGGCTTTACCAGAGCACCGTGCTGACCGCCGTGTCCCTCAGCAGTGCTTGGTGTCCTCCCAGGCCCTGGCTTGTGTTTCTCCAAAGGCTTCCCTTCACTGGCCCCACAGGCAGAGCATCCACAGGAAACGATCCCAACGGGATAGAAGCACGCACTAGCTTGCGTCTTGCTCCGGCGCTCGGTACTGTACGTATGTGTCTTGTCTCATCTTCTCCTCGCCTTGTTTTCCACGCAGGTTGCACGACCAGATGGTAAAGATAAACCAAAGCCTTCACCGCCTGCAGGTGGCATGGCGAGAAGCTCAGCAGAGCTCCAGCCCTGCTGCCGACAGCCTCAGGGAGCAGTTCGAGCGCCTGATGACCATCTATCTCTCCACCAAGACGGCGATGACGGAGCCGCAGATGCTGCAGAACTGCCTGAACCTGCAGGTGTCCATGGCCGTTCTGCTGGTGCAGCTGGCCGTGGGGAACCACGGGACGGAGCCGCTGGAGCTGACCTTCCCGCTGCCGGAGGTGGAAAACAGCGCGTTGGCCTACGTGCCAGGTGAAGCTCCTGGTCCTGCCGGGTCTCTGTGTGCCTGCTGCGATTAGCCGCCCAAAGCGACTCCCGTAGCGCTGCCTTGAGAGCCGTCACGTGCATGCGGCCCAGTTCCTTAAGGTGTTCCTAGCACCTGGGTTTCCTGCTCACTGAGGTGCTTAAAGGACGTTTCCCTTTGAAAAGAAGGGTTCCAGAGCATGTAAGGAAGCGTAGGGAAGGTCAGCGTAACGTCAGAAATACCAGCAGCGAGGTCAGAAGCTCCAGAGAAAGCTAGGACCACCAAGTTCACCTTCCAGGCTACTCCTGGTACCATCTGGGAGAGCTGTCGAAGGAAGCCCTTCTCTGTCCAGGGCAGGACGCAGTTGTACAACTGATGGCATCTGTCTTTGCGTAGAATATTCGCTCTGAAGTGGGTCACTTAAACGTTTGGGGCTTTCTGAGGGGGCACACTTGGAGTACTGATGCTGCTGCCCTTGTAAAGACCCCACTTCTGCCCAGCCTGCAAAGTTTCCCCAAGCTCTGTGTCGATTTGTGGTTCTCCCTGGGCACAAAGTCCTCCCCGTGGTTCCTGTTGTCTGGAGATTCTCTGCCCTTGAGCCTTTTTGTGGGACCGCGTACGATGGGCCGACGGCTGCTGGGCTTCGCCCTCCACGTTGCCCGATTTCTGCGAGAGGCGAATCCCGATCTCATCAGGCCAGGCGTCCTTCGCGGCAGCGGTGTTCTCCTACAGCCAGTTAGTGCCCGAAATGGGAGATTATTCCCTGTATCCAGCAGAATCGGGGCGCGGAGGGGAGGCTAGAAAAGGGCAAAATGAGCTGCCCGAGGAGGAACTCACGTGCGGTCTCTGTCCGTAGAGTTCTTTGCCGATAATCTGGGCGACTTCTTCATTTTCCTGCGGCGTTTCGCTGACGACATCTTGGAGACTTCCGCCGATTCTCTGGAGCACGTCCTTCACTTCGTTACTGTTTTCATGGGTGACGTGGAGAGGTACGTGCCGCCCTCGGTGTGAGCCCTGTGTGCTTCTCTGCAGAGCACCCAGAGGGCATCAAGCAAGTGGAAATTGTCAGAGGTGTCTTGAGGTTCAGTTTAGATGCCCGTGAGGGGTTGATCTCTTTGGAAAAGCTGAATTCTGCCCGCAGGAGGCACAGTGGACAAGGCCCTGCCTGAAGGACGCGGCTTCACGCGAGGTGCAAAGGGGATCCGGTGTCTTTAGTTCTCGTTTGGCCATATCGCACGGGAGCCTCGTCGGCTAGCGCCCGGTGCGCGCTCGTTCAGGGAAACCCTTGGGATCGATCTGTTTGGAGTATCTCTATCAAGTCCACTCTGGTAACTGAGCGCTGAACGAAATGGAGTGGCTTGATCGATCTCCCCGATAAGACGTGGCCGCAGAGGCGACGTTTCCGCTGTTCGTTTGTTCGCACTGGCTGTGTAAACACAGTGAGCCCGCGGTGGCGGCAGGGGCAGATGGAGATTTCACG